GCCACAACGCCCGGCTATTTTTTGGTTGCAGCCGTCATTGTTGTTTGGCGGGTCCGGGCTGGGGATTCGAACCCGCCACCTTAGGTATACGTGGCTGGCGCCTTAGCCGGTTGAGCTATAGGCGCCGAGCCTCTGTTCCTTTTTCTGAACAGACTGTGAGGCTCTTATATTTGGAATAGGTTAGTGTTGGGGTACAGGACTACGGCCTCTACAAGAGAATTACAGGCTTATCAGGAGGTTTCTCATTAACCTTTTTGCTTTCTGCTAACCTAGGGTTCCAGAGGAAGTCTGAGGAAGACATAACCTTGTGCCTGCCTGACCACCTATCTCTGGCCTTGTTAACCTCTCAGGGTCTGAGACGCTGACCTCTGCTCAACTAAAGATTCTAAGGATTCTGCTTTCTCTCATTCCATCCAGCTGAGTGAAAATAGGGTGTTATTACACCTTGGAAGAGTGAGGACTGGGAGGTCAAGGCACAGCCATAGCAAGAGCCCTTGGGGCCCAGACAGAGGAGTGAATCTGGAACCATCAGGGAACATGAGTGAATTTTGGCACAAACTGGGCTGCTGTGTGGTAGAGAAACCCCAGCCGGTAAGTCTCCCTACCCCCACCCCAACACACACAGAAACCAGTTACCTCATGCTGGGAAGTAGACACACCATGTGTAGGATCTGCTCCCTGAAAAGCACACTTGTTGCCTTCCTCTCTGTTGGGATAGTTTCTATGGCCAGGCAGGTGTATATGTGGAATAAAGGGGATGGTGGAAGAAATTAATAGTCCTCACCATCATCTCTCATTCCTGTCCACTTGGAGTTGGGCGGGAGTTGTAGGTGGAGCTTAATACATGTTACTTTTCCCCATTGTTTCCTCAGTAGAGGTAGCTTTGATATGTCCTTTCTTTGTCCATTACCCACTCTGTAGGCCACTGCCCCCCCCACTCTGGTCCATTTTCTTGTGTTTATGTTGTTCCAGCTCTACTTTCCATACCCTAGTGATTTCCCTATTATAATACCACACACCTTCCTCCCATCAGGCCTTTAGTTCTTTGTTTGGTAGTTTTCAAGGTTCTTTTGCCTTCCTCCACTTTGGAGGAGGAAGCTTCAGACATGACTCCATATCTTCTCCACACAGCAGAAGAAGAGAAGACGAATTGACCGGACCATGATTGGAGAACCAATGAATTTTGTCCACCTGACTCACATTGGCTCTGGGGAGATGGGGGCTGGAGATGGACTTGTGATGGTAACAAGGGAATTGGGAGAGGTTGATATGGGAATGTGATCTATAACTATTCCACTTTTTAGAGAAAATTCAAGCAAGGCATGTAACAAAATACTCAATGGAATAACAAGAATCTGGACTCCAGTTCTGGTCACCAGTTCTGTAAACCTGAGACTGAGACTTGGCATTTCAGTTCTCTGGGCCTATGTTCTCTCACCTTTATAATAAGCAGATTGTTCTTTGTTGAGGTGGGAGAGATATGTGTCTTAATAGTTAACTGGAAGGAAAAAAGTTTTGGAGGGCTTTTCCCAAAACTATAATCCTTCCTTCTCATTAAGAACTGTTATTTTGGCTCGGCATCTGTGGCTAAAGCAGCTAAGGCACCAGTCACATACACCTGACCTGACAGGTTCGAATCCAGTCCAGGCCAGCCAAACAACAATGACGGCTGTAACCAAAAAATAGCCAGGTGTTGTGGCAGGTGCCTGTAATCCCAGCTACTAGGGAGGCGGAGGCAGAAGAATTGCTTGAACCCACAAGTTGGAAGTTGCTGTGAGCTGTGATGCACAGCACTCTACCCAGGGCAACAGCTTGAGGCTCTGTCTCAAAAAAAACCCAAAAAAACAGAAAACTGCTATTTCAGCTGGGTGTGTGACTCCACACTTGTAATCCTAGTACTCTGGGAGGCAGAGACAGGTTGATTGCTTGAGCAAGACTCTATCTCTACAAAAAATAAAAGCATATCTGGATATAGTGGTAGGCACCTACGTTCCCAGCTACTTGAGAGTCTGAGGCAGGAACATCACTTGAACCCAGGAGTTCAAGGCTGTAGTGAGCTATGATAGTGTCATTGCACTGCAGCCTGGGCGACAGATTATGACCTTATATCAAAAAAAAGTCTTTTGGCTCAGCACCTGTGGCTCAAGCAGCTAAGCCGCCAGCCACATACACCTGAGCTGGCAGGTTCAAATCTAGCCTGGCCCACCAAACAATGCCTGCTGCAACCAAAAATAGATGGGCGTTGTGGTGGGTGCCTGTAATCCCAGCTACTAGGGAGGTGGAGGCAGGAGAATCACTTGAGCCCAGGAGTTGGAGGTTGTTGTGAGCTGTGATGCCACAGCACTCTATCCAGGGTGACAGCTTGAGGCTCTGTCTCAAAAACAAAACAAAACAAGCCACTGTGGCTCAAGTGGCTTGGTTCGAATCCAGCCCAGGCTGCCAAAACAACAATGACGGCTGCAACCAAAAAATAGCCAGGCACTGTGGCGGGTGCCTATGGTCCCAGGTACTTGGGCGGCTGAGGCAGGAGACTCACTTGAGCCCAGAAGTTGGAGGTTGCTGTGAGCTGTGATGTCACAGCACTCTACCCAGGGGGACATCTTGAGGCTCTGTCTCAAAAACAAAACAAAACAAAACATTTTATAGCTAGGAGTTCTGCGGCGGCGCCTATAGTCCCAGCTACTTGGGAGGCTAAGGCAAGATAATTGCTACGGCCAAGAGTTTGAGGTTGCTGTGAGCTGTAACATCATGGCAACATAGTCTCCAAAGGAAAAAAAAGCTTTTTACCAATTATAAAGTTCATATACATGAGAGAGTCCTTTGGTGAGGAATCTTTTTAGTAAAATAACCATTTTACCTTTTTCTCATGAAGGTCATTAAGAAGGAAGGGAGGCATTGAAACTTTCTTGGGTGGAATGGTGGTTAGTTTTAGCCTTTTCACATTGATGTTATGCTCAAGAGATGGGGTCAGCTTCTTTGCTGGAGACCTTTTACCATGGGATATAAAGACATAAGAGGTGCCTCACATGTGCTTTTTCACAGACAGGTGCAGTTCAGGAGCAGATGAGGTCCAAGGGAAACCGAGACAGGCCTTGGAGCAATTCTAGGGGGTTGTAGCTCCAATAGAAAACGGTGAGTTATTAGAGAAGCCCATCCAACACCCACGTCTCTGCCGATACATCCTGGTACCCTGCTTCAGAACCCTGATCCTCTGATGCAAGAATGACGTAAAGAGAGGAGGAGAGAATAGAATGAAAGATTTAAGAATGTAGGATCAGAAAAGGCAGAGAGAGGGTGGTGTACAGATAGAAATAGAGAAAAGAATACACTGTGGGAATAGTTAAAAGTCTGTACTAGGTGGTGCCTTTTATTGAAATCCTTGGTTTTGAGGCTAATCTTGCCTCTTTAAAAAAATTTTTTTTAATTCAGGTTTTGATGTCCTGAAGCTCCCAGTCTGTGTCCAGCCTAGAAGAAATGCTGCCCTCACCAGATGCCTCCTAGAACCAGTGACCCAAGGCCCCTCTTTTTCCCTATTGGCCTAACAGTGCCTCAAAAGGCTTAGGGGGCTGGACTCCCCCTATTCTCTCTGGCTGTATCCCCTCCTGGAGATGGGATCGAGGCAGCAGGGACTGACCCAGTGACTACTAGTTGGCCATAGATGCTCAGCTGAAGCCCTGAACAACTCAGATCTGAGATAGGAGTTCTTTGGGAAACTGGAATGAGTTCCCTTCTCCTGAATGATCGTCTGAGTACCTCTTGTTTTTAAACTCTTAACCTGGAACTCCTTAAATGGGGTAGGTAGGTGAGATAACCAAAGCTGATGCCAGCTTTGCCAAGAAACTCCCTCTCTCCCTGCCTTTCTCTTTCCTTTGGGAATGGATTAAAGCAGACGTTGGGGGTGAGGGGTGACTACTTCCTAGTCTACTTTTTAGATTTCAGACCTTAAGCTCATAGCCCCTCAGTCTCGCTGCCAACACCAGGGTATTTGTCTAGTTAGACCTCTAATCCTGTGTTTCTGTGGTAGGACTAGCTTCCTAGCAACTTTCCTTTAAAAAAGATTTAATTAAAAATTTGAGTTCTCTTAATTACTTCCATTTCCTTCTACTGCTATTCCTTCTGTCTTGAACCCCATCCTTGTTAGGAACCTTAGTTAGTGTCCCACTGAGTAAGAGTTAACCTGCTGACATTCCATTTATGTCTTGGGGAACCTGGCCTGTCTTCTGCCACCCTCCCTGCTGGCCCAGGTGAGAGGGAAAAACCCAGAATGCAACAAAACTAGGTTATATTTCAAGGTAGACTTCTGACCGTGAGGACAGGAGGGACGGTAAGATACGTGAGTTGAAAATAGTCATCTTTGAGTTTAGGGATCTTATGATCCTCACAGCATGGGAACAGGGAGAGGCTCTAGGTTTCTCAATCCAGATACTTTTGACATTTTTGGATGGATAATTCTATGTAATCAAGTGCTGTTTTGTGCATTATAGGCAAACCTGACTTATGACAACCAAAAATGTCTCTAGATGTTACCAAATGTCACTTAAGGGCAAAATCACCTCCAGTTGAGACTCATAGCTCTAGAGGCAAATATATTTTTCTCTTAAGTGATTTCTGCCCCACGTCCTATCCTTGTCCCATTATTTACCTTAAACCTGAACCATAGATAAATTAGGACCCCTTGTAAATTAGGCTCAATAGGGCTGCACATAATTTCCAAATAATTCTTTATTCAATGTGTTGTTTGTGCTTGTATGGTGTCATGTCTTTGTGATGGACATGTACTATAATTCTCCATTCTTGTCCCCTTAAGGAGGGGTTCCCTGCAGTGTGGAGACATGAACAGGGTAGGATTGGGGAGAGGGGAAGAGAAAAACAGTAGAGACACCTCAGCTTATCCTCCTTGAGATAAGTTCTATTTCTGTGTCCTAGCTCTAAATACCAATAAAACTCAGGGAGTTTTGTCTGAAAACCAGGTCCCACTGCCCACATGGCTGAAAAGTCTACTTTAGATGGGAAAGCAACATAGGAGCAGGAGGGAAGTCTGTAAGCACTTTCAGTTTTCTCAGGTGTTTTTATTCTGGCCCTTTCCTTGCAGGGTAAAATTAGGAAGGCAGAACAAGACAGGTGAGCTCTTACTCAGAGACAGGGCTGGAGTCTCCCAGCTCTGTAGCTGGAAGCATGTTTGATGGTAGTGGGGTCAGGAATGTGGGAACTGGTATACCATCCATCCAGTTTGCTCCCACCTAGAGAACAGTGGCTGAGTTTTCTACAGTTTTTCAAGATTGGTTGTAGAATTATAATCCCAATTTACTCTCAGTTTTAGTTGAGCTAGTCACTATGATCAGCAGCCTGAGTGTTAGTTAACAGGACAGAGTGGAAAGGTTGTAGACTCCTGGAATCTTTGGTCACCATAATCTTTAGCCTCATTCTAAAACCTGTTGTTTGGACATAGTCTTCTCTTTCATTTTTGGTGCTCTCTTGCTTTTAGCTACTTTCTCTGATGTGTATGCTTAACAACAAAGTGATGGGAATGGGTTTGAGAGTCTTAATTTATATTTAAAAACTGTTGAACTTTTAAATACATTTTTCAAATAAAAACATTTAAGCAAAATAGTTGCAGAATAATCATTACAGTTGTATGTTGGATTAAAAGATAGAAATGGCTGATGAAGATAACTCTTTGAAAGTGGCGGAAATGGAATTTTGTACCAACACTGCCCTTTCTGAGAGGGCTAAGCACCGTGACAGCATGGAGAAGACCTCCGTCATCTTTACAGGGCTTAACTACTTGTTCTTCCTATTTCCTCTTCTAAGCGATTATTTGAGATTTTTCAAATTTTTAAGTTTCAAAAACAACATTGGAAATGAGGAAAATGAGCAACACTAACATTTTATCCTGGGAGACAGGGAGTTGGGGGATAAGCAAGAGGCTGCTAGTTTGCAGTTCAGTTTTAGGGTTGAAAAGACTGATAGTTTCTCTCCTGAGATACCTCTGTAAAAAGACACAAGACCAAACAGTGTATTTTCCAGTTTTGTTTTTCTGTACTAAAAATATCTAGTGAGTGCTGGAATTGAAAGGGTAAGAGAGGTTGAGATGCTGACACCTCCTCTTGTGGATGAAGTGGCCATTACCTCCGGTTTCTGTCTATCTGAGTAAGGAAAAAAAAAATAGAGAAAAGGGGAAATTACAACCACATCTACAGTCTCCCTTCCTTGCTTCATCTTCCCCTCCCACAAACCCTCACTCCTTTACTGCCCCCTCACTTACACTTTTTTACGTTCATTAATGGTACTGGACACACGAGGAGAAAGACAGAAACCAGCAAAATTACCAAGCATAGGGCAGAGCCTGTGGCTCAAAGGAGTAGGGCGCCAGCCCCGGCAAAACAAACAAACAAAAAAAAAATTACCAAGCATACCCTTTGTCCCTCCTCCCCAAAGTTCCTGTCATCTCTCTCAGTGGAGACCACCTAATCAAGTCGATCAGAACTTTTTGTAATTCTTGGTAAAGCGAAGGACTGTCCTTCCTTGAGAATTCTTTTATTGTTGAGAAGAATCTCAGAAGGACAGTTCTTCTGGATGATCACTGGTGTTGAACAAGCGTGATTTAAATCTTACTTGTGGCTCTGCTACTACTAGCTTTGTAAACCCCAGTTTCTTCATTTATAAGGTGAGGATAATAATACTTTGTGGGGGGCGGTGCCTGTGGCTCAAAGGAGTAGGGCACCAGCCCGATATACCAGAGGTGGCGGGTTCAAACCCAGCCCCAGCCAAAAACTACAAAAAAAATAATCAGTTAAAAAAAAAAAATACCAGCTCGGCGCCTATAGCTCAACTGGCTAAGGCGCCAGCCACGTACACCTGAGGTGGCGGGTTCAAATCCCCAGCCCGGACCCGCCAAACAATAATGATGGCTGCAACCAAAATATGGCCGGGCGTTGTGGCGGGCGCCTGTGGTCCCAGCTGCTTGGGAGGCGGAGGCAGGAGACTCGCTTGAGCCCAGGAGTTGGAGGTTGCTGTGAGCTGTAATGCCATGGCACTCTTCCCGGGGGACAGCTTGAGGCTCTGGCTCAAAAAAAAAAAAAAAAAAAAAATACCTTGTGGGGTTGTGAGGATTGATCCAGGTAAAGTGCACATAAGAGGACCTCAAATATTGGCTATTGTTATGTGTAAGCTGCACTATTGATATCCTCCATATCCAATAATTTGTGTAACAAGAAGTCTTTATGTATTTACAAACTTTGGTCAAGGATTAACCAATAAGACATGTTGCCTAATAACCAACCAGCAGTTACCACAAGAAATAATAGGTGGGATCAATGGCTAACAATAATGAGAATAATCAATACATGTTATGAATCAACCAAATAAGTCTTCGCTTTGGCTCTTAAAAAATAACGAAAACAATCAACAAATTAAGTCAGTAACAGTTCATGGGAACATACAGCCTGGCTTAGCAACATAGTTTCGGATATCAGAAATTTTCAGATCCACCACCAAGGATCCTTCCTGGCTCATCACCAAACACTTACTGGTTGCATCTCTGCGAACACTGAAGAAAGGCTATTCCAAATATCCTCCAGGCCATTCCTGACCCGTTTCCAAAAAGCCAGTGCAGGGCTAGGGCTGGGTCTGGGGGGCCGCAGGCTGGGTCTGTGTCTAAGGTGGCTGCTGGAGAAAGTGTTAGAGGCGGTGGTCAGAGAGGCACAGTTGCTGTCAGGACAGAGATCTGGGTCCAGGGGACACTCCTCCAGATGTCGGTTGCAGGGACATTGATGGTAGGTGCAAGGTCTATGCTCTGTCCGGAGTTGGCTCAGCGCCCCAACTCGAAGGCGCCCAGAAAGGCCTTCCAACTTCCCAGCCCTAGTCCGGCTCATTGTGCCTGACTTGCAGTGGCAGTGCCACGGGCCCCAGGGCATCAACACCAGATGCAGATCCTCAGGAGGTGGCATGGCTGTGGGAGAGGGTGATGGCCACCGACTTGGGGTGGCCCCAGCTGTTGTCCACTTGCTCAGGGTAGGCTCAGAGGTCACTGGGTCCTCAGTAGACTTCGAGGTAAGGCGACGCAGTCTTGAAGTCAACCTAATTTCAGGCTCCTGGCTATTGGCTATAAATGTCGTGCTGGAACCCCCCGCCGTCTGGGGATTGGCAGTGAGAGCCTCTAGGGCATTGTCATTCTTTCTGGCACTAATCACAACCCCCTCTTCCAAAGTCCCATCCTCCCGGGTGAATGCAGACTGTCTGTCGCCTGCAGACAACGTGGAGGCCAAAAGCTCAGCCGCGGCTGGGCCTGCCAGGCGGTCGGCATTGGCCATGGCGTCATTCTCATCCTCTAGAGTTATCCTTGTCCTCCGGGGAAGACGTGTCCCAACGATGGTGCTCTTGTAGCTGCGGCTCAGGGGCCCCCCAAAGCGGAAAGTGACCCGCTGCATCCCGGTTGGACTCTGAGTCTGCCCGTGGGCCCCCGCCGCCCACGGCCCCAGACTCAGCAGCAGGGTCCAGAGCAGCGCGCCGGTGGCGGGGACCATGGGGCTGGGCGGCTTAGGGTTGGGAGGGAGGCCAGAGACCCAGGCCGGACTCCTACCTTCGCTCCCTCCCTTCCGCTCTCGACCCACCTGGTCGTTTGAACCTAGGCACGAGGGGAGGCGGCGCTTCCGACGCATGGACGCGCGCGCGCCACGAGGGGCGCTCCCGCAGCCCCAGGGGCTGAGGTGAAATCCTAAGAACCTCCACAGCAAGAACTCCGTGCCCGAACGGAGTCGGATTGTGATGTAAGGGGTTGGGAAAAGAGGCGTTCATTTCCTGGAACAGAGCTTACATCTCTTATTGAAGTCTGTTAGCTGCTACAGATCTGAATTTATTTATTTGTTTGCTCATTTATTTATTTTTGAGACAGAGTCTCACTCTGTCACCCTGGGTAGAGTGCTGTGGCGTCATAGCTCACAGCAACCTCCAACTCTTGGGCTCAAGCAATCCTCTCACTTCAGTTTTTCTATTTTTAGTAGAGACTGTGTCTCAAACTCCTGAACTCAAGGGATTCACCCACCTCAGCCTCCAAGAGTGCTGGAATCACAGGCGTGAGCCACCATGCCTATCCAGATCTGAATTTATTAAGGAGGACAAAAATGCAGGTTTTGGAGCGCTCCTTCACAGGGTCGCAGGCAGCAGACATTCAGGAGGAAAGAGGACATGTGGTAGGTCTTCAAGACTCAGCAAAGGACACCCTGGGCTCCTAGCAGGCTGGCTGCCCACAGTCAAGCTTTTCTCATCCAAGGTGAAAAGGACATCAGCCCTTGGCTTACAGGGGAGGAAAATGAGACTCAAGGGACATGAAGTTATTTGCCCAAGGTTCTATGACTAAAGCAGAATTAAAACCCAGAACTCTGCACTTTCCACACAAAATGCCACCCCACTCAGCAGATGGGGTTCTCAACCTCAAATCCCTGCTAAAGGGAGCATAATGGGAAGGATGACATCCCTTTAAGAAGTAAACATCCAACGGTCTTGGGGGTTGAGGATAAGGTGATTTAAAAGTAGCTCTAATGTTTCAGAGATTTGGGTATAGGCAGACCATCTTCTCTGCTTGGTTTAAGGCCGTTTATCCAGTCCTGTGCTAGGTCCCTCTGGAGCCATGGAGATCCTGGTCCAACCTAGGAGAGGAAGGGTGGGGGAGAGAAGTGGTTCAGGGGCAAGACTTAGGTTTTACTCAGTAGTTTGGAGGACATAAGACAGGTAAATTAGAAGAGCTAGAAGACGCGGTGCTTATGTCATCTTTTAGCACTAGCTTTAGCATTTAATATCCTTTGCTGTCCCCCATTGGATATAATCTCCTATTCACCACCAACACATTTCTTCCTAATTTTTAGGGCCAATCTGAATCTCCTGTAATTTCTTTTTTTTTTTTTTTGAGACAGTCTCATTATGTCACCCTCGATAGAGAGCTATGGCACCACAGCTCACAGCAACCTGAGACTCTTGGGCTTATGCGGTTCTTTTGCCTCAGCCTCCCAAGAAGCTGGGACTACAGGCATCTGCCACAACGCCTGGCTATTTTTTGTTGGAGTTGTCATTGTTGTTTAGCAGGCCATGAGCTGGGTTCAAACCCCCCAGCCTCAGTGTATGTGGCTGGCGCCATAACCACTGTGCTTATGGGCACTAAGCCAGAATCTTCTGTGATTTCTCTACTGTGATTATTCATTCATCTGTTTGTTTAATTAATTAATTAATTAATTTTCTGAGACAGAGTCTCACTCTGTTGCCCTGGGTATAGTGCTGTGGAGTCATCATAGCTCACAGCACCCTCAAACTCTTGGGCTCAGGCAATTTTGCCTCAGCCTCCTGAGTAGCTAGGACTACAGGCACCTACTAGACCCCTGGCTGGTTTTCCTACATTTTAGTAGAGACAGGGTCTTACTCTTGCTCAGGCTGGGCTTGAACTCCTGAGCTCAAGCAATCCACTTGCCTTGGCGTCCCAGAACTCTGGGATTACAGGAGTGAGCCATCATACCCAGCCTGATTATTCTTTATTCCTTGATGCTCTGCACTTATGTGTATAGCTTTTTTTTTTCACTTGTTCTTGTTGAATGAAATAGTGTCCTTAAAGTTGTCTCTGTATGCAATTTTCCCAGATACATTGAAGCAGCTAAAACCAAATTCCTTTGTATCCCCCACCCCAAAGACATTAAGAAAGGGGATTGGCTTTACCCATCCCACCCAAAACCTTTATCCTTAAGCATAAGACTCACTGTCTGACAGCTTCAGGGATGTGAACTTCATCCAGGGAGATGAGTTGTGCCAGCTCTCCCAGGCTGTCCAGAAAACGAACCTTTCGTGTAAATTTAGAACTAAAAACAGAGGATAAGCCAAGTATGTTTTGTACCAGGAAGGGGCTTCCTTGAGACCTTAGAAAAGGAATTGTAGGGAGTAGAGTGAGTAAGACTGGGAAGAATGGGGAGTGGGGGGAAAGACCTTTTTTTTGAGACAGAGTCTCACTCCATCATCCTGGCTAGAGTGCTGTGGCATGATAGCAACCTTAAACTCTTGGGCTCAAGTGATCCTCCTGTCTCAGCTTCCCGAGTAACTCCTGGCTATTTTTGGAGATGGTATCTTGCTCTTGCTCAGGCTGGTCTTGAACTCAGGTGGCAATCTACCTGCCTTGGCCTTCCAGCGTGCTGGGATTACAGGTGTGAGCCACTGTGCCTGGCCAGGCAAGACCTTCTTAATCTTGATTTTTTTAATAAATTTTTTTTTTTTTTTTTTGCCGTTTTTGGCTGGAGCTGGGTTTGAACCTGCCACCTCCAGCATATGGGACCAGCGCCCTACCCTTTGAGCCACAGATGCCACCCCTTAATCTTGATTTTGAAAATTGGGGGAAGGGAGTCCTTGTACCCAGAGCTAATACCTGATGAAGGGCCGAAGCAGTGCCAGAAATGCCTTCACATACCACGTAGCATGGACAACCACCAGGGCTCTTAGGTTCTTTCGGAGCCTTTAGAAGAAAGAACATGACATCATCCTGTTTCTTCTTCAACCTTCTGGCATAAAGACCCTCTAGAACTATCTTCTGCACTATTACTTCCTTCACTTCTCTATTTTCTTTTCTTTTCTTTTTTTTTTTTTGAGACAGAGCCTCAAGCTGTCCCCCCGGGTAGAGTGCCGTGGCATCACAGCTCACAGCAAGCTCCAACTCCCGGGCTCAAGTGAGTCTTCTGCCTCCGCCTCCCAAGTAGCTGGGACCATAGGCGCCTGCCACAAGGTCTACCTATTTTTTTTGGTTGCAGCCATCGTTGTTTGGCGGGCCCAGGCTGGATTCGAACCCGCCACCTTAGGTGTATGTGGCTGGTGCCTTAGCCACTTGAGCCACAGGTGCTGAGCTCACGTCTCTATTTTCGAGATTGCTCTGTCATTTGGGTCTAATCTCCATTCCTTCAGCTGTGATTTCACTTCCACCCATATTATTCAGCTCTCTCTCCATGACCCTCATTTTAGAAAACTCTGTTTAGAATCCCTCAGGCTGTGTACCCTATTCCCCTCCTTTGCCCTACCCTCACTTAAGTTCCTTTTACATACTTCTCCATGTCTCCATGATTAGGACTTTGTAAAACTCCATGTAGAAGAAGACTAGCAAGGAGGGAAAAAGGAAAAGAGAAAAGTGAGCAAAAAGAGATGGGGGAAAACAAAGGGGATAAAAGGAACACAAAGGTGGAAAGGCAGCTTAGGTCAGGGATGAAGGCAGAGAAGATAGAGATGTGGAAAGGAAAATACATGGCAAGATTGGAAGAAAAGGAAAAATGCCACCTGGGTGCCAAGGCAATATGCTGCATTGATTTATGTGATTTTCACAAATACCCAGTGGCAAAGGCATTAGCATTATGATTTTAAAGATAAGGAAGCTCTGGGAGGCTGAGGCAAGAGAATTGCCTAAGCCTAGGAGTTGGAGGTTGCTGTGAACTGTGTGATGCCACGGTACTCTACCAAGGACAATAAAGTGAGACTCTGTCTCTATAAAATAAAATAAAAATAAGGAAGCTGGGGCCCAGAAAAGTTAAATGGCTTGACCAAAACCATGCAGCTAGTAAATGGTAATAATGAGGCCTGAAACTGGATTTCTCTGACTCCAAGGAGGAGAGGCACTAACAGGAAGAAGAAAGAATGGAAAGATAGAAAAGAGAGTTGTAGCTTGCTTGTCCTGTGGTCTTACCGCTGATCCAGGGTATGGTAACACTGGCGTATCCATCTCAGAGGTGGAACTTGGGCCTTGCTTGTACCTCCACTCAAATGAACAAGCATATAGTTTTCAGCTACCAGCAGTTCCAGAGTCCCCACCATATACCTGGGGGAAAATGAAAGTGCGGGGAAAGCATGTCCTAGGGTTGCACAAGTGAGAGGAACATTACTATAGCTTCTCTAATAAACTACTAATCCTGGAAGGGGTTCTTTGTTACTTTTCCCTTCCCTAATTCCCTCCCTATAACCTTCCAGACCTTCTAACTCACTTAAACAAGTGTTCCATAATATAAGAGTAGTTAGGGGTGCTGCTTCTGGGTAGATAACAGGAAGCAAAGAGGATGACAGCATTGAGGCCATCACCATGGTAACCTGGGGAGGATAAAAGGAAAAGTCATTTGGTCAATCAATCAATATGTATTAATAGGCAGCACATCTGTTTGAAGATCTCTGCAAGTTACAGGAAGGATTTTGAACCTAATTCTTTAATTTTCAGCTTTGACATTTTATTCAAGAAACCAAAGTCCTTAACCCTCCACTTATGTTAATCTTTACCTCCATGAGACAGGACTTTCTTATAGGGCTCGATGACAGTCATGTCCACTCGCTGCTCCCACTGTCCTGTTCGGAACACCCTCCAGTGATGACCATCGTCTCCAGCCACATCCCACATACAACCCTGGCCCAGCCTTTCAGCTGCCTCAATGGCCCCCAGACCTTCTGTCTGAGGCAGCTCATCTGAAAGAGCAGGATGGGCAAGGATCACCAAGATAGATTCTACTGTTTTCTGTGACCTCCCGAATTCCTAGAGTTTATTACTCTAACATTTTTATTCCTCAATTTTTTCCTTGACTCTTTAGGTCTAGTTCATCTAATCAACCCAATCCCTTGCTGGTTTCTCTTTCCTGTGATTCATTATCCTAACTTTTTCACTAGACAATGCCTGTGACTGACCTACGGCAGGTATATGGCCCTTGCCAGTGTCAGTTTATTCCCTGAGATTCCCTATTTCTTTTTTTACATAAAATTTCCTAGAGGAGCTCATCTATTCCCATGTCTTTAATCACCACCAGTAAGGGGACAGCTCCCAGATTTGCCTCTAACCTAGGATTCTGCTCTACCTCCAAATCCATAATCCCCATCTCTAAATGGCTAGAGTGAACATGTCCACTTTGTGTTTTCCTGTCATCAAGTCATCAGATCCAAAATGGAACTTAAAATCATTTCCTTCTTATTCTCCCCCATATTTCCTATCTTCATAAATGGCCCCACCAATCTTCTCTATTATATCCTTTAAAAAAACGTTTTTTAGGCCCCGTGCCATGGCTCATGCCTATAATCCTAGCCCTCTGGGAGCTCAAGGTGAATGGACTGCCTGAGTTCAGAAGTTTGAGACCAGCCTGAGCAAGATTGAGACCCCAGGCATTTGTGGCGGGCGCCTGTGGTCCCTGCTACTCGGAAGGCTGAGGCAAGAGAATCTCCTGAGCCCAAGAACTGGAGGTTGCTGTGAGCTGTGACGTCACAGCTCTCTACCAAGGGCAACGAAGTGAGAACCTTTCCATGATTCCCCATTGCCTCTGCAATAAAGTCTTTAGTGTGGCAGCAAGGGCCTCTGGGATTTGACCTTTTAGCTACTTAACCCAACACTATCTTTTGTCATTTTCCCTTCACTTCCCAGTTCTTTGTCATGCTTTATCCTTTGAGTTCCCCAGGGTGCCATGCTGTTGCTTTGACTTGCTTCTTCCACCTCTGAATTCCTTCTCTCCAACTACCTGATAAACATCAGCTTTAGCTTCCAGTTCTTAACTCATAATCACTTCCTCCAAGAAGCCTCTCCTATCATCTTTTAGGCAGAAGTGTGCCTTTTCTTTTCTCTGCCCATCCTGTACCCTATACACATATAGATCATAACCTTTAACTGCAATTGTTTGTATGTATGTTTATTTCCTACTAAACAGAGAATTCCCCTCTCTTATGCATCTTTATAACCCTGGTCCTGGCTCAATGATGGCATATAGCAGGTATTCAATAAAGTTTTCCTTAATAAACAAGCTTCCTCCCTCTCTGACTACTCTCACATTGGATCTATAAGCTCTAGATTTGCATTCTGAGGAATTTAATTTTGCTGACCTTACCTCTTGGTCCCCACCTTATTTTGTTCTACCTTCAGTTTCATTAAATGCAAGCTGAGCTGCTTTTAACACTAGTCCCTACTTCTACTGGTTCTGGATCCTCAGGTTTGCTTCCCACCTTCCCATTCAAATTCATGTCCACTGTCCAGCTGTTCCGAGTCTGAAGGTGTCTCCAATTCATCTACCTCCAGGTCAGAACTGCCATCAGGAGAGGAAGGTGCAGAGTGGGTAAGAGAAGCTCCATTTTCTCCAGGTGCCTCTGCCGGATTTAGCCACAACTCTGGGGCAGAAAGACGCTTACGCATGGGGCGCTGGCCACACAGGGCTAATGTGCTGGGGGTACCTGGGGCCGAGGAAGAGGGTAAAGAATAGAAAGATATTGGGAGGCTGAGGTCGTTAGTTTGCCTGAGCTCAGGAGTTTGAGACCAGCCCAAGCAAGACTAAGACTCCATCTCTACTAAAAATAGAAAAACTAGCTGGGTGATGTGGTGGGCACCTGGAGTCCCAGATACTTGGGAGGCTGAGGCAAGAGAAATGCTTGAGCCCAGGAGTTTGAGGTTACTGTGAGCTATGATGCCACTAGCCAGGATGACAGAGTGAGACTCTGTCTTAAAAAAAAAAAAAGAACAGAAATGTGTGTTGGGGGGAAGGGTTTAGAATTCCTGTGTGTGTCGAAGTGATAATATGGGGCAAACTCTGAAGAAGAAAAGACCATTTGGAAAAGAAGAAAAGGGAACTACAAAGGGACAGTGGTAGCACAGCTCTTCACTGGACTGGAATCAAGAAACTAAAGGCTAGTTTCTACTTCACCTACCAAGTTTAGGGTCTTCAGGGTCTTCAAAAGGACGGACCTCCTCAGGAAGCAATCTAGAGCAAAAAAGATGAAAAGAGGGCAGAGCCCTGGGCTAACAGCATCAAGCCAAGCATCAATTTATAGCCCCCCCTCCTCCCCCTGTGATTTCATCACTTCTGCTTTCTTTTTCTCACCTCTTTCCTTGAAGTTGTTTTTGGTTATTTATTTATTTATTTGGCCAGGGCTGGGTTTGAACCTGCCACCTCTGGCATATGGGGCCAGCACCTTACTCCTTTGAGCCACAAATGCCGCCGTTTTTGTTTTTTTGAGACAGAGTTTTACTATGCTTACTATGTCACCCTCGGTGGTACAGTGCCGTGGTGTCACAGGTCACAGCAACCTCAAATTCTTGGGCTTAAGCAATTCTCTTGCCTCAGCCTCCCAAGTAGCTGGGACTACAGGCGCCTGCCACAATACCCACTTACTTTTTTGGTTGAAGCAGTCGTTGTTTGGCAGGCCCAGTCTAGATTCGAACCCGCCAGCTCAGGTGTATGTGGCTGGCGTCTTAGCCACTTGAGCCACAGGTGCCGAGCCTTGTTTTTCTTTTAAACAGAGTCTTACTTTGAGTAGGGTACAGAGGCCTCATCACAGCCCACTGCAACCTCAAAGACCTGGCCTTAAGAGACCCTCCTGCTTCAGCCTCCTGAGGAGCTGAGACTACAGGCATGCACCACCATACCCGGCTAATTTTTCTATTTTTTGTGGAGATAGGGCCTTGTTGTGGGGCTCAGGCTGGTCTCACATTCCTGAACTCATGTAGTCTTCTCACCTCAGTCTCACAGAGTGCTGGGATTATAGGCAAGCTCTATTGTGCCCAGCCCCCTTCAAGTTTTTTTTTTATAGAGGGAGCCTCAAGCTATCCCCCTGGGTGGAGTGCCATGGCATCACAGCTCACAGCAACCTTCAACTCCTGGGCTCAAGCGAGTCTCCTGCCTCAGCCTCCCAAGTAGCTGG